TCAAACCCACCAGCCACTCCTCGGAAGGAAGATGGGGCAATCTACTTCCGTAGTGATACTGCCTTGGAAACCCAAGGAGGGGTCGCTGTGAGTCAGGTGTGACTCGACGGTACATAACAACAACAACAACTTGTCATACATTGGTATTTCATAGACCTTACTAAAGATGTCTATTTCTAAAAGAAGGGACAATTCATCCTTCATGCTGATTGTTTAAAAACACTGGTCACTGCCAGTAACTCTTGACAGTTAACATGTTTTCATAAAGGCCTAAATGAAAAATCTATGATCATTTTATTCAGTTAGTAATCCCTCTTCAAGTTGGACTTAACCTCCCTGATGGCATTATATGTCAGCACTAAAAATAGATGTCAATTAGTTTCCTACATTTTAAATCTCTGATAAACATTAAAATAAGTTCTGAAGTGAGACATTCTTTAAAAACCCACAAGGAAAGAGGACAAAGATGCCCTGAAGCTTTCTAACAACATAGTGAGTCTTTTTATAAGATATGTAACTATAACTTTGAGTAAGATATGTCTTCTGCTGTCTACAGTTCAAGCTTCACAGAGGTGCGACTTGTGGCCATTTTCAAGAGAGATAATGCAGAAACAAAGAGCCCTGCAGGTGATCTCCTGTCTTTTCATTCCAACAAAATTGAAAGTCATGGAATCATGGAGGAGAACAAGCAACCAGAAATCTATCTCACAGCCTTAGATCTCAAAAAGCTAATCAGCAGAGCACTTGAGGAAGACCAGTCCTTGGACATGGAGACTATACAGTTCACTGATGGTCAGTTGATGATTTCATATTTCTGGGTTTGTCTCATTCTGGTGAAGAGACTAGGAAGTATGATGGCCTTATCATCATTGTCATTTTAACTTGGACCTTGTAGAGTCAGTCATTACTGTGACAGGTATATCATGTACAATACAATTTCTATTTTTCTGCACTTCCATTGTTTCTCATTTGATGAGCCTTTGATGACCACTTCACACCAAGAGTAACTCTAGGAGAATACCAAGGGCTTAAGTTCAGTACAGTTAAATTATAGTCATCCATTGGAACTGAAGTCAAGAGAAGAATTCAGCTCCCCTACCACAATCCAAGCAGAATTTCTCATCTAGATGAGCCAGGTCCCAGCAGGAAAGAGATGGCATGTTCAAATTAGGATAATTTTGTGCTATAATAATGTTCTAGTGTTTTAAGGAAGGATTCCTGGTGGTGCAGTGGTTAGAGCAATTGACTACTAACAGAAAGTTCAATTTGGGAGAAAGATACGGCAGTCTGCTTCCATAAACACTGTGGCCTTAGAAACCCTATGACAGTTTTACTCTGTTCCATAAGGTCACTGTGAGTCAGAATCAACTAGATTGGCATGCAACAACAACATTCGTTGTTGTTGTTGTTATGTGCTGTCGAGTCGGCCCGACTCATAGCGATCCCTCCTTGGGTTTCTGAGGCAATATCACTACGGAAGTAGATTGCCCAACCTTCCTTCCGAGGAGTGGCTGGTGGGTTATTGCCACATACTTCAACCTTGACTGTTTTACTGCTCCCACTACCAAAGAAATAAAGAAAAAAGAAACATCCCAATCTTGTGATTTTTTCACCAACAGAAATTGTTGAGTTGTTGCCAGGCTCTGATTCCCACATCCAAGCAGTGCTGCCTACACCCCTTGCTGATATCACAAAAGTAAGTGAGTTTTGTGTCTTTTTTGTTCTTCAAATAGGAACAAAGCTGCAAAACTTTCCATCAAAAATGAGCTTAAGGACTGAACAGGGCACAATTCCCTGTGCAATGCTAATTATGATTACTTTCTGATTTTTAGAAGCAATACTTGGTTAACCTACATCCAGAATCTGTATTAGTAAAATATAATACAGCTTCCATTTCAAATATCCTAAAATTCACAGCTTCCTTCAATTTAGTTAGGTCTTTGTCTCAATTAGAGTTGGAATTTTGGGGTTTTGATGACACAAACACATTTTCAAAGACTGAAAAGAATTATTACAGCAGAATATATTATTTATTTTTGACCTTCAAAAATAAACATAAGGATACTGTATAAATTTGTTCTTAAGTATTAAGACCTTATCTAAATATTTATTTCTCAGGGATTTATAAGTACAAATTAATATCCTAGAGAATAAAAATAATACATTCAGTGATTATTTTTTTTAATTGTGATTTGGGTGAAATTTTACAGAGCAAATTCATTTTCTATACAACAGTTCCTACACATTTTGTTTCATGACGTTAATTATAATCCTCATAGTGTAACAGGTTTCTTTCCACTTCTTCCCTGTGGTTACATTTCCCCTGTGTCCTTCTTTACTGTACATTTCTGCCCTCTGAGCTTTCCCTCTGTGCAAATACTGCCCTTCTGGTCTCCCATGGTTGATTGTTCTAAGGAGTGTACCTACCTGGTTTAAATGTCCACCTTATATGCCTGTCTATTGTTTGGCTGGAAGCCAGTGAATAAATTCAAGTCCAGGCCAGAAAGGTGAATAGGGGTCATAGTCTCAGAATTCTCACCAGTCTTATCAAACCAATAAGCCTGGTCCTTTTTATGATTTTGAGTTCTGTTCTACATATTTTTCCCACTTTATCCAGGATCTCCTACATTGATCTCTTTCCAAGTTATTGACAGTGGTAGCCAGTTATCATCTAGTTCTTCTGGTCTCAGGGTCATAAAGGCTGAAATATGCATGGTCCACTAGTCCCCTGAACTAATTGTTTCCATGTTTCTTTGGTTTTCTTCATTCTTCTTTGCTCCAGACAAGGAAAGAGCAATTGTTACGTCTTAGATGGCCACTTGTAAACTTTTAAGGCCCTCATCACTATTCACCAAAGTAGGATGTAGAACAATGTTTTTGTGTAGGACGTTATGCCAATTGAGCTTGATGTCTCCCATGAACACGGTCTTGAACCCACAGGCCCAACCGCTCACTCTCTCAGGGTAGTTGGCTGTGGCTAAGAAGTTATCATAACTTTACTACCTGTTAGCTCTATTATATATATGAGCATTCTTACAGCACATGCAAATACATATGTAGAAATATCATCTGCCAAACTTATGTGTAAACCAAAAACAAACTCACCACCATCAAGTCGGATCTGACTCATAGTAACCCCTCTTTGGGTTTCCGAGGAGGTATCACTACAGAAGTAGATTGCCCAACATTCCTTCTGAGGAGTAGCTGGTGGGTTTGAACCACCAGCCTTCTGGTTAGCAGTCAAATACCCTAGGCACTATGCCACCCTTTTGCATAGACATACCTGATCATTCAGCCTGTCTATCTATGTATGTATCCACCCATAGATTAATGTTTGTTATTACTACAATGCAGTATTGTGTATGTAAAAATATCTACCTTTGTTGTCTGTACCTCTTGTGCTCCCATTAATGTCTTTTTTCCTTAGTGTTATTGTGCTGGTCACTCACTTTTGGTATATTGCCTTTCTCTTCACCCAGATCAACACTTGTCTCTTACCTATCTAGCACTTTTTCCTCCACTTCCCTCTCATCCCTGGTAACCAACAAAGAAAGTTTCCTTCCATATGTAAACCTTTCCTTGACATTTTACAATAATGGACTCACACAATATTTGTCCTTCTGTGATTGACTTATTTCACTCAGCATAATGTCTTCCAAATTCATTCACGTTATGAGGTGTTTCATGGATTCTACATTATTCCTTAGTGTTGCCTCATATTTTACTGTGTAAATGTATCTTAGTTTAGTTATCCATTCATTGCTATGGTGAATAGTGCTGCAATGAACATGGGTGTGCATATATCTACTCATGTCCCAGCTCTCCCTTCTTTAGGATATATACCTAGTAATGGGATTGCTGGATCAAATGGTATTTCTATTTCCTATTTTTTAAGGAATCACTATACCATTTTCCACAATGGTCGCATCATTTTACAGTCCCAACAGCAGTGTATAAGAGTCCCAATTTCTCCACATTCTTGCCAGTTCTATTTTTTTCTGTTTTGTTAAACTTTACTATTAATGTATTGTTGTTTTGATTGGCATCTCTATAATGGTTAGTGATCATGAACATTTCTTGTGTCTCTTGGCTGCCTGATTATCTTCTTTGGTGAAGTATCTGTTCATGTCTTCTGCCCATTTTGTAATTGGATTACTTGTCTTTTTGATGTTGAGGTGTTGGAGTTTTCTAAACATTTTACATATAAGTCCCTTGTCAGAAATACCATTGCCAAATTTTTTTTCCAATCTGCAGGTTCTCATTTTACTCTTTTGGAGAAGTCTTTTGATGTACATGAGAATTTTCAGAAGGTCCCATTCATGCAGTTTGTCTTCTGCTGTTTGTGCATTTTTACTTACGTTTGGTAGTCTGTTAACACATATGTTAGAGCCCCTGTGTTTGCCCCTATTGTTCTCTGATGAAGCTTATGGTTTTACATTTAAGTCTTTGATCCATCTGGAAATAGTTTTTGCATGTGGTGTGAGGTACAAATCTTGTTTCATTTTTCTGCACATGGATATCCAGTTTTGCGAACACCATTTGTAAAAGAGACTGTCTCTTCCCCATTTAACAGATTTTAGCCCTTTGTCAAAGATCAGCTGACTGTAGGTAGATGGGTCTATTTCTGGGTTCTCAATCCTATTCCACTGGTCTGTGTGTCTGTCCTTGTACAAATACCAAACTATTTTGACTACTGTGGCTGTACAGTAGGTTTTAAGATCTGAGAGTGTCAGACCTCCTACTTTCTTCTTCCTCTTCAATAGTGCTTTACTCACCCAAGGGCTCTTTCCTTTCCAGGTAAAATTAGTGATTTGTTTTTCCACATCCTTAAAGAATGTTGATGGAATCTGGATCCAGATTGCATAATTCAGTAATTAATTTTTGTATTCCATCTAAAGTTATATTCATTTAATTTATCAGAAGTTGTCATTGAGATGTTCATAAATAAAAGTGTTGCCCAAGCTTAAGTCCCCCCTCATAATGAAGAGATTCAAAAATTCAAACATAACTGACACATTTCAACATACTTTAGTTATGTTAGTCCTACTCAGGCAAGTTTGATTAGCCAAGAAACCAATAGATCATTTTGTGCCACTCTCATTGCATGCTATCCTTTCAGAACATGTTTATACATCAGAATCTTTCTCCACAGTAGAGTCAAATAAACTATAAAATAATTTGCTTTAATTTAAATGATTAAAAAAATACAGAGTATAGTCATAAAATGTCCCTTCTCAACATCTGTCTTCCTAAATTCATTCTTCAGGATGCCACGTTGAGTCCAGAACTTCCTCTTGATCGATCCAGGCTTGGGACAGCTGACAAAACAGAGCATGATTTACCTGGTGAGTTTCTTCCCATAAAGTCAACATTAGATGTCAACCTCCTCTTGAGGAATCCATCTATGGCACTGTTTCAAAAAGCAATCCCAAAGTCATCCTTGATACAGGAGAAGGTTTGCCTACACCAGCACCAGTAATGGGCAAGAAGTCTATGGAAACACACTCTTTTGAAGAGTAGGACACCCTCAATATCCTTCCCTCAGCTCTAATTCTCAGTCTTACAGAGAACACTGACAGCCCTTTCCTTAAGGACCTGGTGAAGGAAACTGAAACCAAAGTAGCACCAACTCTTACCCACACAGAACAACAATTTCCTCTTGGCTTTGAAACTGAGAGTCTGTCAGAACAATGTAGGTCATAAGACCCACTCCATGACATGGGGCTATGGCAATGGAAGGATTGGGCCGTTACAGTCAATATATGTATTCCCTTATGGGACAAATGAAAAGCATTGTGATTGTGGAATTGTTACTTTTTGAGGCAATAGGGTCAATGTTTCTCACAGTTTAATAAAAAGCTTTAGCAATATATGAAGACTTTAAGTAGAAATGAAAAACAAACTAAAATTCCTATGGAAGAGCTTTCTTTTAGTCCTGAAAGTAGCTAACTTAGTAGTTCCAACAACATGTCCTTTCCATGTTATGGAGCTTTCTAGTAATACTACAAGGGTAGATGTCTTTAGAGAATCTCCAGAATATAATTTTGATAAATATATACTGTGATTCTAAGAGCAAATGCCAGTGGAGATTTTTTGTGACTGATATTTTTAATAAGATTGTTACTGTTTTAATAAGCTTGTTTATTATTTTCTCGGGAGCTCTGGTAGTGTAGTGCTTAAGGCACTTGAATGCTAACCAGAAGGCTGGCAGTTCAAACCCACTAGCCACTCCTTGAAAGGAAAGTTGGGCAATCTACTTCCATAGTTATATCACCTCGGAAACCCTAGGAAGGGTCGGTATGAGTCAGGTCCGACTCGACGGCACATAACAGCAACAACTTTATTTTCTCATTATAAAATTCTACAAGTTTTGAGTGGTCTACCTCAAACCTATTTTCCTCATAAACTCCACAGTTAGTGTGCAACTTTGCAAGATACAAAATTTTTCAGGAATTTTTTATATATTGAGTGATGTTATTGTTGTTGTTAGGTGCCATTGAAACAGTTCCAATCTGTAGACCCTATGTACAACAGAACAAAACACTGTTTGGTCCTTCACCATCCTAACAATTGCTGCTAGGCTTGAGTTCTTTGTTGCAGCCTCAGTGTCTATCCAACTAGTTGAGGCTCTTCCTCGTTTTCACTCACCCTCTACTTTATCAAAGATGATAGCTTTCTCCAGGGAATGATCTCTCTTGATAACATAACCAAAATGCAAGAGACGAAGTCTCGCTATCATTCCTTCTAAGGAGCATTCTGGCTCTACTTTTTCCAAGACAGATTTTTTCGTTCCTCTGGCAGTCTAGTATATTCAATATCCTTTGCCAAAACCATAATTCAATGCATCAGTTCTTCAGTCTTCCTTGTATGTTGTCCAGCTTTCACATGCATATGAGGCTACTGAAAATACCATGGCCTGGATCAAGCACACCTTAGTCTTCAAAGAAACAGCTTTGCTCCTTAACACTTTAAAGAAGTCTTTGGCAGCAGATTATCATTATATCATTTGAGTTCTTGACTGCTGCTTACAGGCATTGATTGTAGATCCAAATTAAATGAAATCATTGATGATTCAATCTTTTCTCCATTTATCATGATATTGTTTATTGGCCCAGTTGTGAGGATTTTTCTTTTATATTGAAGTGTAATCCATACTGAAGGCTGTAGTCTTTGATCTTTATCTCTAAGTTTTCAAGTCTTCTTTACTTTCAGCAAGCAAAGTTCTGTCATCTGCATATCCCAAGTTGTTAACGAGCCTTCCTCCAAACTTGGTGCCATGTTCTTCTTCATATAGTCCAGGCTCTCACATTATTTACTCAGCATGCAGATTGAATAAGTATGGTGAAAGGATACACCTTTCTTGATTTCAAGCCCTGCATTACCCTCTTGTTCTATTCGAACAACTGACTCTTGGTCTATGTACAGGTTCCTCATGACCACAGTTAGGTGTTCTGGAATTCCCATTCTTTATGGTAGCATCCATAATTTGTTATGATCCATACGGTCAAATGTCTTTGCATAGTCAATAAAATGCCGGTAAACATCTTTCTGGTATTCTTTGCTTTCAATCAAGTCCATCTGACATCAGCAATGATATCTCTCTTTCCACATCCTCTTCTGAATCCAGCAGTTCCTTATTGGTATACTGCTGCAAATCTATTAAATTATTTTCAGCAAAATTTTATTTTGTGATTTAATGTTTTATTTGTGATGTTAATGATATTGTTCAATAATTTTCACATTCTGTTAGATCACCTTTCTTTGGAATGGGCACAAGTGTGGACCTCTTCCACTCAGTTGCCAGGTGGTTGTCTTCCAAATTTCTTGATATAAGCTGGTGAGCACTTCCAGTATTGAATCTGTTTGTTGAAATTTCTCAGTTAGCATTCCATCAATTCCTGGAGCTTTGTTTTTCACCAATACCTTCGGTTCACCTTGGACTTCTCCTTCAATACCATCTGTTCTTGATCATATGCTACCTCCTGAAATGGTTGAATGTTGACCAATTCTCTCTGGTACAATGACTTTCTTTTCCTTCCATCTTCTAGTGATGCTTCCTGTGTCATTCAACATTTTCCCCATAGAATCCCTAAATATTGCAACTGGAGGTTTGAAATTTTTCTTTAGTTCTTTCAACTTGAGAAATACCAAGCATATTCTTCCCTTTAGGTTTTCTAACCCTAGGTCTTTGCACATTTCATTATTATACTTTACTATGTCTTCTCAAGCTACCCTTTAAGATTTTCTGTTCAGCTCTTTTACATCATTTCTTCATTCACTTTAGCTACTCTCCCCATGTAAAAGCAAGTTTTAGAGTCACTTCTGGCATCCATTTTGGTCTTTTCTTTCTTTCCTGTCTTTTTAATGATCTTTTGCTTTCTTCATATATGATGTCTTTGATGTCTTCTCACAGCTCACCTGGTCTTTGGTCATTGGTGTTCAGTGCCTCAAATCTATTTTTTCACATGGTCTCTAAACTCAGATATCATATACTCAATGTCATATTTTGGCTCTCATGTGATTTTTTTAAGTTTTCTTCAGCTTCAACTTAAACTTGCATATGAGCAATTGATGATCTGTTCCACAATTGGCCCCTCACCTCCTTCTAACTGATTCTTGTCAGTCCATTGTCCCTTGCCACAGTTATAGTTGATTTGATTCCTGTGTATTCCATCTGGTGAGGTCCCCATGTATAATTACCATCTATGTTGTTGAAAAATGGTATTTGCAATGGATAAGTTATTGGTCTTGCAAAATCCTATCATGCAATGTCTTTCATCATTTCTGTGACGATGAATATGATGCCAATACTCTTCCCAAATGTGATGTCATTACAGGCATAACACACCATATGACTGTCTGATTCAAAATGGCCAACACCAGTCCATTTCGGTTCACTAATGCCTAGGATAAGGAGCTCTGGTAGTGTAGTGGATAAGACATTTGGCTGCTAACCAGAAGGTCAGAGGTTCAAATCCACCAGCTGCTCTGTGGAATGAAGATGGGCAATCTACTTCCATAAAGATTTACAACCTCAGAAACCCAATGGGGGTCGCTATGAGTCAGAATGGACTTGATGACAGTGAGTTTGGTTTTTGGCTAGGATATCAATCTTTACGTGTTCTATTTCATTTTGTACAACTTCTGATTTTCCTAGATTCCTATTTCCTACATTCCATGTTCCAATTATTAATGGATTTTTGCATCTGTTTCTTCTCATTTTGAGTCATGCCACATCAGCAAATGAATATCCTGAAAGCTTTACTCCATCCAGGTCATTAAATTCAACTCTACTTTGAGTGCCTTCCTACCTAAGGGGCTCATCATCTGGCATTATATCAGGCACTATTTCACTGCTATTCATAAGGTTTTCAGTGGTCAACTTATGAAGTAGACCACCATGTCCTTCTTCCTAGCCTGTGTTAGTTTCAAAGCTCTAAGACCTGAAACCTGTCTACCATGATTGACCCTGCTGGTATTTGAAATACTGGTGAGCATAGCTTCTGTCATCCCAGCAATATGCAAGCTACCACAGTATGACAAACTGGCTGAGTGGTGGATATCTCAGGATAGTAGAACCAACTGTGTTAATTGGATTTGGCTTCCATGATCGCCAATAAATAAATGTCAACTACCTGATAGTATAACCTATTGCTACATTACAAACCACCCCTAAATTTAATGGCTTAAAACAACAATCATTTATTTGCCCTATACATTTTAAATTTGGACATAAATTAGTGAGCATGATTCTTCTCTGTTCCATGTTGTGTCATCTGGGGTATTTCAAATTGTGTTGAAGATTCATTTCCAAGATGATTCACTTATATGGATGGCAAATAAGTGTTCAATCAAATCTGTTGTCTGGAAGTCTTCATTCCTCTCTATACAGATCTCTCAACAAGGCTGTTTGTGTTTCTTCACATCATGACAACTGGGTTCAAGGAACCAGCATTCCAAGAGACAGAAAGTCCAAGTTTCCAGTCTCTTAATGATCCAGAAACACCATTTCTTTCTCACATTCTAATAGTTAGGCACCCACAGAGCCCATCTTGATTCAAGGGGAGGGAAGACAGACCCTGCTTTTCCACTGGAATATTATTAATGAATTTCAGGCCATTTATAACCTACCATAATCCACATCAACCATTATCTTGATTTCCAAATAATTAAGAGTTGGTTGCATAAAACCAAACTTTTTGGTGAAATGATTGACATTACATGCTCATTGGATTATTTCCTTTCATTAAGATATCATAAGGCCTTAATATTAGATCAGCATTTCAGGTAGATTAATAAAAATAATAATAGTACATCTATGATGAAAGCTTTATTATATTTTCAA